TGCTGTGTGCCTAGACAGTATCTTCAGAGCAGGAAAAATGTTTTGGTATCTTTATCTCCCCTAGCACTTGGCACAAAAATTTCCTGGGACATAGTAGTAGTAATAATCAAAGCTAATTTTTTTTAGCATTTATAATGTATCAAGCCTCATATTGACTTCCCTAACATAGATTATCTCATTTAGTCTTCACAGCAGCCATTTATTATTACCCCTGACTCACAAACTGGATTGTAAACACTGATTGCACTCAGCATGTCTGATGAGCCACATTTCTCTCTCTCTGTCAGAACGGCATGATGCATTATATGTGGTGGGAGCACTGGATGAAACATTGGAGCTGCGAGGATTACGATACCACCCAATCGATATCGAGACCTCAGTGTCTCGGATCCACAGGAGCATTGCTGAATGGTAAATTCCTCTGCTCAGAATATGTTTTCCACCTCTGCTGTAGTATCAGTTAAAACTGATATAAGTAGTCAGCCATCTATACCAAATGCCACCTACAGATGTAGAACTCTAAGGAGAATAAGAATAAAGGGATGAACTCTTGGCGGCAGGTGAGGCCTTGGAGATGCTAAGAAAGGCTCCATGGATCCACTGTGGAGCTGAGTCCCTTTTAATGATAGACTCATATCATTGGAAGGGATATAAGAGATGAGCTGCCACTAGAGAGTCAGTGTCCCATGGTGGGAAGAACCATGACTTCAAGGTCAGAAGAGCCAGCTCCCCCGTCAAGCTGCTTTCCTCATCTGGGACACACTTTCTGTGCTGCTTCCTGATGATCAGAAGGATCAGATGAGAATGTGCTTCACAGACTGTCTGGTAGTAAGCAGATGAAAAGGATCATTATTCTCTCTCTGATTTCCCTCTCATTGCAGGAAATCCCCCTACATCACCACAGGTAAAGGATCATCCAGCATCACATTGACTAAAAATTCCTTAAAACTAAATAGTTTTTACCTATTGACTTTCATTCTGGATTCTTGACAACACAGAATCCATCCAGTTTCTTTTCTGCATATTTAAGTCAGTTTGTTGTTCTTCAGGTTTTTTTTACCCCCATGCTAAATAACCACAGATCTGTTAAGGATTGCTCATACTTTCCAGATGCTGCTTTGTCAGCATCTTTGTCTCACTTTGGTCAGGCTTCCCAGAGCTGAACAATGTCCATGAGGGGTAAGCAATGCAGAGAGGTTGGGTACCATGATTACCCTCTAATTTTAGGCATTTGACTTTTAATGTGACCTATTATTGTATACATCTTTCTTTAATGATTGGAATCTATTTTTTAAGTAGTCTTAGCACTCCTACACAGGTCCCATAACCCAGCAGTCCCCCTCAATGTAAGGTGACATTCTGATAGCACTTTTATGGCACAGCAGGAGATACATCTGTACAGGGCACTGAGCTCAGACGGGGCCAGGTCAATTCCTTTCCTGTTGGGTGTAAGAATATCTTAGTCAAAGCTTTTATATGACAGATAACAGAAACTCTCTTAAAAAAAAAAAACCTAAGCAAAAGAGAGAGTTAATGGGAAGAATATCTGGCTATCTCAGAGGTTCCCCAAAGTCTCTACCTAATTCTGGATCTCAAGACAGGTAGAAATAAGGGACAGGAAGGTCATTGGGAACCACTGTCCTCTCACTTTCTAGAGCCACATGAGCATCTACTTCATTCATTCTTTCTCTTCTCCCTGAAAAGCCATTCTCTGTGCTTCCCTGCACACCTAGCTAGCCCAGAACTTGCAGATCTACATGTCCTCAGTTCAAGTGACCAGCTAATAATGTTTAATCCCACTTCCAAACTCCCAGGAGATTCTGGTGGCTCAGTTAATCAGCAGTGATCACAGGGGCAAGGTCATATATCATAGGTGTGGCTGCTTATCTGACTGGCTCTGAGAGGGAGGGCAGTTCTCAGGAGAACAGGGGTAAGTCTTGGGCAGGTACTATAAAAGAGGACTGGTAGATGTAATGACATGTTAACCAAATGTCCTTGAAATTTCAGTGCTGTGTTCACGTGGACCAACTTGCTTGTTGTGGTGGTGGAACTGTGTGGCTCTGAACAGGAAGCCCTAGATCTGGTTCCCTTGGTGACAAACGTGGTCCTGGAAGAGCATTACCTCATTGTTGGCGTTGTGGTGGTGGTGGACCCAGGTGTCATCCCCATCAACTCCAGGGGAGAGAAGCAGAGGATGCACCTCCGTGACAGCTTTCTAGCTGACCAGTTAGACCCCATCTATGTGGCTTATAACATGTAACCAGCCTTGTGGGGATTCCGGGGGGGCCAACCTGAAAAACCGCAAGGACCAAAGACCATCTAGGAACAAGCTTTCAGATGATGAGAAATAAGCTAGGATGGCTACATTATATCCTTCATCTCATCCTGTGGGATTCTGCAGTCCCAAGGCACACAGGAAAGGGGATTGCTGTGGTGGCAAATGGAAAAAATGTTAACAGTCTATTAGTCATGAGCTTTGGCATAGTGTGAACAGCACTGTTACTAAAGCAATTACATGCATGTTGCATTTTTTCATCTGTTGTATATATGTGTATTTTTATCTAATGCTGTTTTAGATTTTTCTAAGGGAGTTTAATGAATTCACATGAAGCAGGTAGTCTGAGTCACACAGTTCCCCGCTCTGTACTGTATCTTGCCATTTTACCAGAGCTAGACATACTGCAGGTTTTGTTAACATGAAACTACTCAGCTTTCAGTTGACCCATAAACAAATCAGATAACCCACTGAATGAGAATTACTTTATATACCTAATTGACTGTAAAACATTTTGACCAGTATTTTAAACATGTAAATAAGAAAACACATAATCCAGCTAAAAAGTTGAAGAATTGGCTTGTATAGTTGTAACAACTAAAGCAGAAATGTTTATACTTTGAGAGAATTTCAGTATTCTCTTGCTGTGTTATAACTGAATAGGTAACTAGAAAGTGCAAATTGTTTGCAGGTTTCGCTGCACATTGTACTATGTCTCTGTTGGCGGGTGTATTTTATAAACTAAAGCTGCCTTTGTTTGTTTTTGAAGCTTGCATCCCCAGAATCAGCTTAAGCTTTTAAGAATTCAACCTATTTTCTACAAGTTGAAAATCTCACTTTAAAAATCAAAATGTTACGAAAAAACTAAGATTCATTAGATCCCACCCTATTCTGCGGAAACACAGTAATTCACTCTGGCCCCCAGTGTTGAAATTGTCTTTCAAATTTAGAGTGACTTTGTAAGAATTTAGGATTTCCTCTTTTTCCAGGCCCATTGTAAACTGCGTCTACAGTTTATACATATAGCTTCTCTTTTCTGGAAACTGAAGAGCGCCCTGTTATTCCAGTTCATGGGGGCAGGGATTTTAGGAACAAGAATGACAGGCTGGGAAGGCAATGAGATCGACAGTCACGTGAAACCGTAAGGCCACATAACTGTATATCTTAAATCTGACCATTTTGATTTTGCCAAAATAGCCAGGCTTATGCTGAAATAGGGGAAGTCTGATGTATGCAAGAAACTCTTTTGAAATAACTGGTGCCCAGGCCAAGCGGACTGAGCCTGGGAGTGAGTTTGTCTCTGGCTCGGTTTCCTTTCTTTGGTCTGATGATGCTTCATGTATTTGAATATAGTTGAATTTTATTATTTTTTTCTTACAGAAATATTTTTAAAAATTAAAAAAAAAACCTCAAAGTAAACAGAGTTAACTTGTTAAATCAGAATGGTTCTCTTTGACCCACTCTGGTCTAATGTGTAAATATTTATTTAGACTATTTTAATAAAACATATTATTTACCCCACTGTAACATCATGTAAGCTAAATATGTTTTTAAACAATTTTTAAGACTTGTAATTACCCTGAAAATAAGGTTTATAATGCAAAGACCAGACCCTTCACCATGGCAGCACTCTTGGGGGCTGCCTTTACACAGTCTTGTGACTCAAAGCCACTTTATTGACTCCCTTTTACATAATCCTCCTTTCTTCCAACTCATTCTCCACAGAGGGGAAAACTCAAGGCATTTTCCAGTTCCAGATCTCTTTTTCAACATTTTGGATGAAATTAGTGTACATGCGATAGGAGAGGTTCTAGGGTATAAAGAAAGAAAGCCCTTAATACTGGGGCAAGAAATCCCAGTGACTGCAGTGGTTTAGTTTGCAGAGAAAGCAGCCTGTTTCTTTGGAAAGTAATTTTCTTAAAACAGTTTTAATGATTCACTAAACAGGACAAGGAGTCCTGAGGGTTAAATTGGACTATCTCCATTATCATAAGTTGTAAGAAGAAAATATTGGCAGAGGTTATCCTATTACTTTGATAATTCTCACTATACAAGTTAGGGTGTCTACTAGATATACAATATAAGCCACATCTGTCTTTCAAAATGTCCTAGTAATTATACTTTTAAAAGTAAAAAGAAACAGGTTTAATTAGTTTTAATATGTTTATTGAACCCAGTATATCAAAAATACTGTTTCAATATGGAATCAATATAAGAATTACTGAGATATTTTACTTTCTTTTTTTCATATTAAGTCTTTGAAATCCAGTGTTTATTAAGCATATCTCAGTTTAGGCTAGCTGTATTTCAAGTTTTCAGTAGCCACACGTGGCCAGTAGCTATGATATTGGACAGTGTACATCCTATACTCATTCCTTCAAATAAAATATTGCATTAATCTCAGAGTGTGGCCAATTCCCAGATACTTAGGGGCTGATTATCTAGTTCTGTAGTTCCCCAAGCCTCTGATTTATCCTTAGTATTCGCTTTCTGCCTTGTGGCTGGCTGCTTTATTCATCTTTTGCATATCACCCAAGACAAGAATATACTAGTACAAGAAAGCTGAGCTGTGTCTTTGGAGAACTTCATCAGTAACTCTGGTAAAGTATTCACTGACAGGGGAAGAGTCTAGTCATTGACTTAGCAGTGTTGGTGAGGTCAGCTGCAGATTGAATCCCTAGTCTGTTGTAGACTTGGATTAGAAAACTTTCTCTTGATGACACAATGCTTCTGCTCTTTTCACATTAAGTAGAACCTTTGTGGTAGAACCGATTCTTAAGACAGGCCCAAAGGGCCATTATTGATAGGAACAGCCTTGCCAAAATTCTGGAACACCTTCTGTCTGGGTTTTTATGCCTGTGAAAAAGAAAACAACTTAATAGCAAGCCCCCATTTCAGTTAAGAGAAATTTGTTCATCTGAAAGTTTTTTGACTTCCTCCTGTCTCTCAGCAGAAATAATTGAGGTAGATAAGGAAGGGGCTGCCTCGGGAAAATTCCTAGGCCCTGAGTATTTTTTAGAGCTGCATAAATGCCATCTCTGGCATCAGTGTCACCCTGGGCATGACCAGTTTGCTAATTTAGGGTATCAGTGAATCCCCAGTCTTTACTCACTTCCTGCCTCATAAAGGGTCTGGGTTCCCCCAGGACCAAGTCCTTTCCTCTGGAAGTTGTGCTGCCTCGGCTGTTTAGGGACCATCGCCTGTCTATTGATCATATGAGTGCATCTCCTTTAACTCTGGGCAATGCTTGCTTAATGCTTTTGTTGAATCAACAAAGGGCCTGAGGCCTTAGGGTTTTTTTGTTAAGGTCTCCGCCCCAGGCATGGTGCTCAATATCTTGTCCGAGTAAGTTACTTTCCTTTAATATCCAGGAATCTTTTAGACTAAAGCAATGAGGAGTTATCACCTCACCCCTCAAACTCCAACATGGTCTATGCCTTAGTGTTATTTTTGTTGTCTGCTTTGATGTAAAAAGCAAGAGTATCTGCAGCAAGAAGCCGTAGTACTCCAGCTAGACAGTAGGCCTTTTCTTTATCATCCATACAACATTTCTGGTTTAGGTATATGTAGCTGGGCCATGTTGTTTGTCCAGAGGAAGGGAGTGTAAAGATATAAGAATAATTTTTTAGTTCTAAATGCTGTTTTGTTTACTTTCTGTCAAGATACTTACCAGTGTCAAATTCAAACTGCAGTACTGTGTAATTATGTATAAAGTTTTTTTTATTTATTTGAAATTAGACTAGATATACATTTTTAAATTTAACATCTGGCTGGACAGTGTTCTATTAACTCATTGAATGTGTTTCCTTTGTCTTGTGTTAATAAATATTGATGCCTGATTGTGTTTAATGCTTGACACATTGGGAGAACTGATAAACTGGAACTGATAAATCTTAAATTTCACTTCAGATGGTAAGACCCAAAGATAGTTGTAGTAGTCTGAGGAACACAAGAGACCCAAAATTATAGCAAATCAATGCTATAAAAGAAGACCACATCAGGGAACAGTAGGGAGTCATTTTGAAAACAAAGAAGATTTTTGTCAGGAACAATTATAGCTTGGTTTTCCTTCTACCCATGTAGCATTTGGTAGTTTCAAATTATTGATCATAAATTATAATTTTTTTTTAATCTATAATAGAGCTGGATTTCAACTTTTCCTAAAGTGGTACTTCACTTGCTCTTCCATTTACTGGTTTCAAGAAACTTGATGGGAGCGCATCAAATTGTGCATGTTCTCGGACACTAAAACTGGTCCTTAAATTATTGTCCAAGCTTAAAGGCAGCTGACATCTTCTCATTTAACATTTATTGAGTGCCTACCCACAAGGCAGTAAGAGCTGAAGCTAGGGAGAGAAAATAATTGAGTCACCAACCTCAGAGGTACAGGAAAATACTACTCTGCATTACGGGTTACAAGTAGAGGTGGGCTGTGGGAGCAGGTAGGATAGGCACCCAATCTAGTGATGAGGGAGAATAGTGAGGGATGTGTGCTAGAAGAGACAACATCTGAACTGAATTGTGAAGAATGGGACAGCCAGATAAGATACAGACAATAAGCTGGAAGGTAGGGTTGCATATTCTGGGAACTGCGATTCATTATTAGAATGTAGGGTTTGAAGGAAAAAAAAGCAATATATATATATGGACAGATTACTAAGGGTCTTGCATTTCATGCCAAGAACTTTGGACTTGTATCCAGAAGGCCAAAGAGAACTAATGAGGGATTTGTGGCAAGGGAATAACATGCTCAGATTTGCAACATAGATTATTCTGGTAGTCATACAGAAATGGATTGGTTTGGGGAGGGAAAGTGAAGTAAAGCCTGAGGCCAGGAGAGCAGTTGGGAGGCCTCTGCAGTTAAGTGCGGTGAAGAGCACTTCAGGCAAGGCAGCAACAGGATGGAGATGAGAGAGAGTGTGCAAACCTGGGAGACAGACAGAATTCAACCACAGAATGTTCAGGATAAGGAAAGGGCTCCAAAATAACTTCCAGGTTTCTGACTTGGATAGTTATGTAGATGTGGGGCCATTTAATCAAGGCAGGGAATCAAAAGAGGAGGAAAAGACTTGGGAAAGAAGATGTGGTCCATTTTGGTCATGTTCATTTGAGGTGCTGTGAAACATGCAAGTGAAGAGGTACAGTAGGCAGCTGAATATTTAGGTCTTTGCCTCACGAGAGCGCTGGCCAAGAACTGGATATTTGGGAGACATCCTTCTGAAAGTAGTAACTGAAGCCAGGAAGTGGATGTTACTACCAAGGAAAAGCATATAGAGTGAGGAAGGATCAGTAAGAGGGTCATGGGGAACAACAACATTTAAAAACTGATGGAGGGAGAAGGAAAGAAGGGAGAAGGAATGACTGGGGAGGTAGGGGCAAAATCAAGAAAGAGCACGGGTACAAAATTGTAGAAAGAGTTTTAAATAAGGAGTGATCGACAATGCCAAAGGCTACACTGAAGCTGAGAAAAACATGGGCTGTCTAGCATCTGCTGTGTCTGGCAACTAGGCAGTCACTGGTGACCTTGGTCAGGGTGTTTTCGGTTGTTACTATAGGGGCAGAAGCCTGAAAACTGGTTCAGAAGAGTAATGATGGGAGATGTGGCTGAACAGGCTATTCTTCCCGGAAGCTTATCTGCACATAGGAAAGAGATGGGACACTAGTTAAAAGAGGGATGTAGAATCAAGGAAGTCTGTTTTAAAGATGGAAGAAATAAAATACTGTGACAGGGGAAAGAGACAGTAGAGAGGGAAAGTTGCCAAATATAGCAATGAAGGACAATTCACAAAGCAAGGTCACTAAGGAAGCAGGAGTGGTAGGTCCAGAAAACAGGAAGGATTAGCCTTTGAGGGGAGAAAGCACATTTTTTCAAATAAAACTGGGTAGCAGCAAGATCCTGATAGTGGGAGATTGCTAGAGGCCTATCTGATCACCTCATTCACTTCTCTGTACCTCCATTCTCAGCCTACAAAGGTGAATAGTCATTTCTGAGAAAACTTCTATTAATAAATGTAATAGTGCTGGCAAAATATAACATGGAATCTGCAAATAATGAAAATTCCTAAGAAGCAGATATGAGGGAAAATTTACATTAAATGCACTTATTAAAAAAAGGACTAAAAATAAGTTAGTTGTATTCAGTAAAAGAAAAAAAAATTACCCTCTAAGAAAGTGGAAGGAGGGAGATACTTAAGAGAAAAACAACTAATAAATAGAAAATAAAAGAAATAGAAAAGGTTCAATAGAACCAGAAGCTGATTTCTTAAAAATAACAATCTCTAGTAAAACTCATGTGTACACACACATAGACTAGTAGGAAGCACAATGAAGACTGTAACGATAGCTATAGTATTTTTTTCAAGTTTTAAGGGATTATAATTTTACAATATATTTGAATTTTAAATGAAATGGATAATTTTCTAGAAAGTATGTAATTTCAAAATTCAAGAAATAGAAAATCTGANACACACACACACACATATATATATATATGTATGTATGTATTTTTTAAAACCACTTAACTCATCTTACAAAGTATAACCTTGATAGCAAAATCACATAAAGGCAGTTTTTAAAAATTCTAAATCATTGTCACTTGTGAAAAGATGCAAAGTCTAGCTGTTTCAGTTATCTATTGCTGAGAAAGTACACCACCCCAACTTAGTGGCATAAAACAGCCATGAATGTATATTCTATGCATCATGAATTAGAGCACAGGAAGAATGACTTCTCTGCTCCAAAATGTCTGGCCTCAACTGCAAGAATTCAAATGTCTGTGGGGTAATTTAAACAACTCAGGGCTAGAATCATCTGGACTTATTTACTCACATAGTGAAAGCCCAGGCTCAGCTGGAACTGCTGATCAAAGCCCATCAATGTAGCCTCTCTTCATTGCTTGAGCTTCTCCAACTGGCAGCTGGGTTCTGAAAAGGAGCATCAGAAGAAAGAGCATGTTAAGTGGTAAACTTCTCATCTACTCTTCAGTCATATGCATCACTTCTGTTGAATTCTGAGCCCAGATTCAAGAGAGAGGACTGTTTTGATCAGAGACAGGCAAAGTCACATTACAAAAAGGCAATGGAGAAGGGAGATACCATGGTGGATATATGTGGAAATATAATGGAAAATATAATTTCCCACACTAGCAAATCAAACTCAGCATATAAGAAATAATATGTGAGGTCAAACCAAGGATGAACCAAGGATGGTCCAATATTAGAAAAATCTATTTATATAATACACCTTTATCAACTTCTTAAAGGAGAAAGCCATATGATCATCTCATATCAGAATTCTAAGAAAAGGTAAAAGTTCAACATTGACTATGAAAAAATCCAACAAGCAAGGAATAGAAGACTTCTTTAATCGATACAATATTTATCAAAAATCTACAGTAAAGTAATACTTAGGAGCAGTACCATGAAAGACAAGACTATGATGAGAATGCTTACTTTCTAACACTGTTACTATTCAGCCTTGTACTTTGAGAGTATAGATAGCATAATTAGGGAAAGAATCTATATGAATTGGATACAAAGGAACAAAAATAATACTTGGAGACAGTATGTTAGTCTGTAGAAAATACAAGAGAATCTACAAATTTAATGAGTTTATCACGATTGCTAAATACAAGATAAACATAAAAACCAAAAGCATGAGTCTGTAGTTAATGATAGTGTTGGGATAATTTGGTCACATTAACCCTCCTAAAGATAGGATTTTAAAAATTTGGACAAAATATTTTTTTCACCTATTTTGAAGGCACTGAAAAATGTCCCACAGGAGATAGAAATTAGAGAGTAACTGCCTCTGAAAGATGAGTAGGTGGCATTTGTGTGTTTGTGATTTTGAGGACACCCCCATAACTCAGTGTGAGTGGTAGAGAGCCACAGCCTACTGGCTTAAGGTTTAGAAGGACCTTAAGAAGATAGAAGAGTTTCAGGTTGGCAGAGCAGCCAGAGAGTAGGTGGGAAATATATGAAGGGGAGAGCCCCAGAAAGTGTAGTTACCCAAATCTGCTTAAAGAATCTATCAAAATATTTGACTGATGGCTGAACTTAATTATATGGAGAAAAATCCAAAGTTCCAGGTGAAATAAAACATCAGCTGGAAGTAGAAATTGTTAAGCAGAGATTTCAGCCATTGTCCATGAAGAAAAAGAGACAGGAAATCAAGTTAACTGCCTTCTGGAATAAAAATCACTCTGTAAAACAATATAATCCATTCCAATGATAAAACTACTAGAAATGTGAAGAAACAGAATACTATGACCCACACTCAAGGAAGAAGAAAACCAGTCAATAGATACCAACTGCAACATCACTCAGATGTTGCAAGTAGCAGTCAAGAGCTTTAAGTCAGTTATTATATATATATATATACACACACACACACACACACACACATACATATATATATAGGGACTTAAAGGAAAATATAGACACAATGAATGAACAGAGAACCGAGCAGAAAAAATAGAAATGATAAAAAAGAATCAAGTGGAAATTCCAGAACTGAGAAAGTACAATTGAAATGAAAAATTCAGGGACTTAATGAGCTTAACAGCAGTTTGAAGACGGCATAATAAAGAGTAAGTTGACTTGAAGACAGTTCGATCGATTATGTAATTGAAGAACAGAGAAAAAAGATTGAAAGGAGAAAATAAATAAAGGCTCAGAGTCCTATGGGAAAATATCAAGTGGTCTAACATGTCTGCAATTGGAATTCCAGATAAAAGAAACAGAATGGGACTTAAAAAATACTTGAATAATGGCAAAAGCTCCTAAAAGTTGGAAAGACATAAATTTACAGACTGTAGAAGCTTAAGAAACTCAGGTAGTATAAATATAAAGAAAGCCATACTTAGGCATAATCATGGGCAAATTGCTAACTCCAATAAAGCAAAAGTCTTCAAAGAAGCCAAGGATAAGTGGCACATTGTACAGAACAATGCACAAATGTTAGCCAACTTCTCATTAGAAATAATGCAAGCCAAAACACAGAATGATATATTCTGAGTGTTGGAAGAAAAAGAACTGTCAACTAAGACTTCTATATCCAATAGAACTATCTTTTAAAAATGAAGGTAAATCCTCAATCTGATAAAGGCAATCTATGAAAAGCTCACTGTTTACACTGCACTTAATAGTGAAAAACTAAATGTCCTTTCACTAAGGCTGGGGACTAAGGAATAAAGTGTTCTCACCACTTGGATTCAACAGTGTACAGAGAGTTCTATCCAGGACAACTGGGCAAGAAAAAGAAACAAAACACATCCAGATTGGACAAAGAATTAAAGCAAGCTCTAGTTACAAATGAAATGACTTATATTTACAAAATCCCAAGGAAATACACACAAACTATTAAATGAATTCAGCAAGGTTGCAGAATACAAAATCAATACATTATATCTATTTTATTTCTATTTTCTAGCCATGAAAATTCCAAAAATGAAATTTAAAAACCAATTCTATGTAAAATAGCATCAAAAAGAATAAAATACTTAATTTAACCAAACTGCAAACTTTTACCCTGAAAACTACAAAATCATTGAAATAAACTAAATAGCTAAATGGAAAGTCATCCCCATGTTCATGGTTTGGAATATTAAGCATTATTAAGATGTCAGTACTCCCCAAATTGATCTACAGATTCAGTACAATTTCTATCAAAATCCCAGCCCCATTTTGTAGAAATGGATAGGTTGATCCTAAAATTCATATGGAAATGCAAGGGACTCAGAAGAGTCAAAACAACTTTGGAAAAAAACAAAGCTGAAGTATTCACACTTCCATATTTCAAAACTACTACAATGTTATAAGAACAGTGTGGTACTGGCTTAAAGATAGACCTACTAATCAGTGGAATAGAACTGAAAGTTCGGAAATGGGGAAGCCTCTGAAACTGCTCCGAACCCAGCCAAGATAAATAACAATATTAATATTGCTTCTCAGGAGGGAATGGTGGAGATTAGTGCCACCTGTGAGGATGTCAGGATTCAGAGGATGTCAGGATCCAGAAGGTAAGCTCTGATTAAATCACCAGTCTGGTCTCTGCAGAAACTCATGGATCCTGTACACTGCTGCAAGTTCAATCAAATAGTAGCCCCAGTTGTAGCTGTTGTACTTGATCTGATTATCTCTGCTAGATCAGATTAATAGGGTCTCAGGTACATGGTATGTACCCATTGATTTAACAAATGTGTCCTTTTCTATTTCAATCAAGGAAGAGAATCAGTTCTCATCACAAGAAAAAAATTTCTCATAACTACAGTATGTGTGGTTATGGATGTTAATTAGACTTACTGTGGCAATCATTTTGCAATATACATGTTATTGAATCATGTAAATCTGATACTAATATGCTATATGTCAACTATATCTCATTTTTCTAATAAAAGATAAAATAATCAAAAAGTTCACATTCACATAGAAGAGACAAGAATATTCATTTATAGTTTTGCCCCAGAGTTACATTATATGACATCACTCTGATCAGACACATGGAACAAGAAGTACTCTGAAGGTCTTGGTAAGCCATATGCAATCCAGAGAATGAGAAATAAATTCTGTGAAGAGTCAGAGGTCCTGTGATCAGAGCCAAGGTGACATATCCCCTATGACATAAAAAACAAATTACTGCATCTTGCATCCTCTTTCTCAAGGAAGGAAACCCCATCCACTGTAGGCCTCTTCAGGTTCTGGAGACAACACATTCAATGTCTAGTAATAGTACTCTGGACAACACCAGATGAAAGCTTTAAGAAAGGTTTGGAGCCATATGAGCTGACAGATTCCCTGATGGAAGAGGTGACAGTTGTGGGAAAATAAACAGTTATGAAGTTTATGGCAAGACCCAGTGGGAGAATCACAATGCAAGCTATTGCAATTCTGGAGTAAGAACATGCCAGCTATAGCAAAGAATTATAAGCCTTTTGAAAAACAGCTTCTGGTATGCTACAGGGCCATGGAAAACTTGAGCAGGGGGCACCAAGTAACTGCCCGTCATTGGCTGTATTCTGTCATAAAGTCATACAGTCAGATGAGTCCAGCACCAATCCTCATAAGATGGAAATGTTACACCTCGAATCAAGCCTAAGCAGGATCAGAGGACACAAGCAACTGCATGATCAGGCAACCAAGAACCTTATGTTACTACAGTTGCACCAGCATTCTTCACTCAGCTCACACCTATGGCCATAGTAGTGCATGGCGGAGTGTTCAACTGAAGCAGATGGAAAAAGCCCAAATTCACTTTATGGGTAGGTTGGGTCCATTCTCTCAGGTGACTTTGAAAGGCAGTTGCAAGGGAATCTTCCCAGTGGGCAGATATTAATTACCCATTCTATGGAGAAAGTGAAGTGTCTCAAAGTGACAATATATGTGGACTTGTGGGCAGTGGCAAATGGCCTGGCCTCTCCCAAAAAGCATGGGAGAGACAGTGAACATCCAGATAAAATAACTTGGCTAATGTCAGCCAGCTATCCACTGACCATCTCAGAATCAACACAATGAGCCCATCATGGAATAGCCACAGTGGCAGACACGGAGGGTATGCATGGGCCCAATAGTATGGACTCCTACTTACCAAGGCTGCTTTAGCTCCTGCTCTCATCTTCAACTAAACATTGACAGAAAACAACACTGAGCTCCCAATGTTATTATTTCTCTAGGAGACTAATTGGCCACTTAACAATAAATTGACAACATTGGGCTTCTTCCCATCCCATCCCAGAAGGGCCAGTGTTGTGTTTTCACATGAATAGACTCACCTTTTCTGGTTAAGGATTTGACTTTCCTGCCCTCAGATCCTCCTTAGCATCACTGCCTGGGGTCTTACTAAGGTTCATGATATTTGTAGGCTGCTGTTTCCTCCAGTAAGCTGAATTTCAGTTCTAAGCTGTCTTGCTACAATTTCTGAATCATAATCTTGAAGGTAAACAATTTGTTTGCTTATACAATCCCACTAACACAGCAGTAACCAGTAATTGTCCATTATAGGGTTTTACTAGTGGAACCAGCTAGGAGGGTACTGCAATATATGATGCAAGACATGATAGTTTGAACTAAGGTGGTCATGGCTGGGTACAGAGAAGGGCAGGAGATCACAAGGAAATAATTTCTATTGTATCTAGGTCTATTCGGGATTCTAGAAATAACAGGAACCAACACTAGCTTAAAATAAAAAGTGCTATTGATTAAAAGGACAAAGGTGGCTCATGGGACATATGGGCCATGGCAGGCAACGATGTCTCAGGCAGATTCTAGAACTGGGGCCTAAAAAGCTACTGGGTTGCTCTCTCAGCTCATCTGCATTGTTTGAAGATAGAAGACGCACAATACAAAATTCCTAACCTTTAGGTACATTTATCTAGAGAAAGACTAATTGTTGTCCAAAGACAAATTTCCATAAGGGAGACTGATGGCCCGCCCAGCTTGCCCACTGTTAGTCAGATATGTATGACTATGAGAAGCTCCCGTAAAAAGGAGGGATATATGGACAGCCCTGTAGCTGTCCACTTGTAGTTTTCCAAGGGCCTCACAGTCTACTTCCATGCTTTCAGTTCAAGCACAGTTAACATGAAGAAACAAAGCTTAGCTAAGTTATCTGGGATAACCCTTTTTCAGGAGTGTTAACTGAAATAATACAGTTGTAGTTCATACAATCCTTGCAGACAGTAGTTACACTGCGCAGTGTTTTCCATATTAACACCGACATACATTTAGTGCTTCCTCTGTGCCAGGCATGGCTCTAACTTTACATGTATCAAACAAATTCAATCCACACAATCTGAGATAAGGACAGGTATTTTTATTAAACCCATCTTATTATAATGTCTCCTTATTTTGCAACAAGACAAAAATAGTGTAGCAGAAAAGCGAAAGAGGATTACCACCTCGCTTTAAAACATATTACCTTTGGCTCTTGAAAGTTAGGTTTCTTTGTTTTGTGTTATCTCCTCACTTCTAAAGTCAAAGACCTGTGCATCTTGTTTACAAAACTCTTACTACTCAGCGTCATAACCAAGACTTTTTTTCTTCATCTACACTTATTCCTCAAGGTTCAGAAAAGTGGTGCGTAGTTCAACACTCACATAAGAAACAAGCATGGTGGAAATCTTTGAGTGGCAGTGTTGTGGAGCATAATATTGATTTAAACTCAAGATGCTTTACAGGTGGAAAAAGAGCTAAAGAGGGAGTAGTCCAGGAACATTTTGAAGATTTCAGTATGACTTAGTTCCTTTTGATGGTAACATTTTTTAGTCCATCCACCCCCCTTTTACTGATTAACACTTGTTAAGCATTCTTGAGTTCCCAGGAAGAAATAAGATAACACAAAAGAACAAAATTATAACCAGGCTTCCAGTCATTAATATTATGGGTTACAGAAAAAAAGACTAATATCTGAGAACCTCTTCCTCCCTATCTTGCTTTCCTATGATATATGACATTTTGATTAAATAATGCTGGGACATGGGCTGAGTATTGTACTTTCATCAATTTTGGTAACTAGAAGACAATCTGAGAGAGGTTGGGTAATCTGCGAATCAAAAATCTAGAATAAGGGCAGTTACTTGTTTTAGCTTTTAACAGGTTGTCAATGTTTGCTGAATGAATGAAAATGGCTAAACTGTTAAGAGTTCTTATGGGTGTCTGGCAGAGTAACTCCTGAGCTTTAAATCACATTATCTGGCTCTAAAGGTCAAAACTAGGAAGACTCCACTAAATCAGTTTCCTACATTGGAGATCTCAAAGTCGTAAAATTTCAGAAAAATTCTGGTACTTGTGTCAAGAGCATACTGAAAGGTTTATCACTTATCATTTGTTCATTATCACTCAAAGCCGTAACAGAATATTTTGCAAGAAGACAAAAATTCAGAATTGAGAATTCTTTCTCCAGAAAGGTAGACATATATTGAAAAACAAACGTTTTAGACTTTGTAATGTATTAAAATGACGGTAACATTTTATTTCACGACACTACACTGTTATGTAATTTTTTTCTAAATAGTTTTAACGGTAAATCTGTGCTTCTGCGTGACACACGAAGTGGAGTTCAACACCCGATAGGCACCTTGTGTTTTAAATAGGTCTTTGTAGAAATCCTTTCATATGGGATAAAGAATACAACTCAACGCAACGTATGGGTTAAAGAGTCTGCGTGAACTAAGAGAAACTGAGGAGTGTAAACCTCCACGCTTGGCGTCGCTTCTCTCGCCCAGCAGCGGACCGGTGAGGCGGGGATGACAGCGCTGAGCCGGCTCACCCAACCCAGAGCCAGGAGCTGGGGTGAGAGTAACGCCACTAACCGAGGAAAACGGCCTCAATCAAGAGGCCTCCTGACACACCAAGCTGGTGGTGGTCTCCAAACACAGCTGTGTGGGAGGAGTGGGAACAGAGCTCCAGAAGGGAGGAGAAGCAGGAAATTCTCACCTACTCTCGACAGCGTAACAGCTTTACGTGACGGACTCACCGTCCGAGACCCGGCACAAGATGGCGGCGCGTCACGTACGCAGCGTGATGACGCAACGGCGCCCCTCACGGAGGGACGGCTATAACCTCACCCCCTACGCTCTCCTACTCCATTACCCCCCCTTCTCTCCCCCGCCCTCGGCCTGGTGTAGATCATGCCGCCAGTGGCGGCCCTGATGCCGAGGAAACGGTAGCCTAGGAGAGTGTGCTGTAAAGTGACACTGCTTCTCCCTGCCCCGCCTGACCCCCGAGAGAGAGGCACGGCCCCCGCCGCGTGAGGGGGTGGGGAAGTGGGTAGTAAATTCGGATCCACCTGGGAGGGGGGAGTGGAAGTTCCCGCCCCGGACAGCGGCGAGGCGGCAGCCACAGGTAAGCGGGGGACGGGGGTGGGACGTGCTCTCATGTCCCTGGGAAGGGAGAGGACGCGGGGATGCGGCGCCAGCGGGGACGCTGAGCTGGGTCTCGCGCCGGTGGGGGTCGCGCGCGGGGAGCCTGCAGTGGGGGAGGGGCGCGGCGGAAGGAGGAGGGGCTGACGCTGCCCGCCCCACCCCCCGAGCGCGCTTCCGGTTGTCGTGCCCCAGCCGGGTTGTTCCCCTTCGTCGGTCTCCTCCTTCCTGTTCCCCGCTCCCCCGGTAAAAGTGGGGATCTTACGTCGTCGCGTGGCGTTTTCCTGGAAGCTGCCCTCCGGTGACTGGCGGCGGGCGCCCGGGGTCGAAGGGGAGTGTGGGGAGAGCTGCGTGGCCTTGGCCTCCGTCTCCGTGCGTTGTCCCGCCGCCCACCACCCGGGGCCCCAGAACGGTTTTCTCTTCCCCGGAGCCCACAGCGCAGCGGGCATCCTGGGGTGCTAGGCCTGGGCCGCCCGGCCGTGAATAGCAAAAATAGCCCTTACCTTCCCACAGCTTACAGTGGAGTGGGGAGAAAGTCAAGTAATCACACAGGCGCACGAAAGGATCTTGGGAAGGTGCAGCCCGTGAGCGGAGGAGGGGAGTGTGGAAAGACGAAAGTTCGTCTGTTTCCCCTGGGAGACGATCAAACCCCGGAAACCTTTTTTATTTTCTTCTGTATCATAAAACTAAGCACTAGTTTAATCGCTTTAAAATTATTGTAGGCGTTAAATAATATATTTTCTGTTAAGTTTTGAGAAGCAGTGGCCTAATGTAGGGCCCCCTACCCCAACCAAAAGTATGAAGTGTTCCCGTGAAACCTTTCCTAACTGAAATGGCATAAAGCAAAGAAGTGATTACTGTGAATTTATGTGGAAAAAAGTTTGAGCATCTCAGGGCCCAAAAAGAACTTCTCAGGCTTTTCTGATCCCTGAGGGACACATCTTGTTAAATAAATCGAGATAAAGCACAGGTGCTACAGGCACAGGGCTCTCGACACAGCTGAAAGCTCTGGCGGCGGCTGTGCTGAGTGTGGTTCCTGGGGAAGGAGCTTGCTGTTAAAAAAAAAAAAAAATGGCCAAACGCTATTATTGCTTCTCACCTTTTTTTGTAAAAGCAGAAGCCCTCTTCGGATTTATTTTGGTTAGTGAAAACAGATAATAATGTAGATCTTATGTAAAATTGAAGCGGTGTAATGCAAACTTTCAAAAAGCACAGGATAGCTGCAAATATTCATTGAAGGCCTTTGCTCTTTGGAGGCTTTTCAGCATAGATTTGGCAAGCATTTTCGTCAAACCAGCCTCCTTTGTGATCAGAGTTCTTACACTGTTTTATATTTGCAAAATGCATTTTACCCTGATAAATTTATTACTAACATAAATAAGCAGTTTCATTAAAATGCCTTTTTTTCTGTAGGTTTTATAATGTGCAGTTACCTCAGTGTCTCAATAAGAATCGATACTGTTAATCCTAAAAGCTGAATGTGTTAGCTATAGTATTTTTAAGTTATCCTTGAAGGTTTTCTTTGGTCTGATACGTCTGTGCAGTACTACGTTATTACCAGTAGGTGGTAGTCCCTTCTAAAGATACCTTTTTCCACGTCATCTCATTTATAATGAATTTCCAACTCTCAAGTAGAGGGTTTCTTGTGCCTGAATTGTCCCGTTTCTAAAGGTGGGTTAAAGTAATTGTTTGAACATTTCATTAACTATTAATTCTGTCGATTTTAAGTAGGTAGACCTGACTAAAGCCATTGATTTATTCAGCAGCAATGTGCAAGGTATCAGGGCTATATTTGAGGACAGGATGCAGCCTTTGATTCCCTAGAGTTTGCATTCTGGTCGGGAGACAGATAACAAGCATTACAATACTGTAGTAAGTACCACGGGAAGAGGGTAAACATGTACTGTGGGGATACAGCCAGAGCTTCTAGACAGTCCAGGGCAGTCATGAAAGTTGGCCTGGAAGAATAACTCAGGAATAGGTCACACAGGAATAGGCAGCAGTTTTTCTGGCAGAGGAAATAATGTGTGTGAAAGCCTGAAGAGAGCAAAGCAGGCTCTCACATTTGAAGATCTGAAAGAAATTCAGTATAACTAATAGGATCAATTTTGAGGGGAGATCATGAGTTCAGTTATGGAAATGTTGATCAAGAGACTCCTTGCCCTTAAGCTTACCCTAGTTCATCATCCTCTACAGGTGTGGGAACGACCCTCTTTTTATCAGCTGAGAATACCTTGTATTGTAGATGTTCACAATTTGCATATGTAAGGGTCTCCGCTGGGCACTGAGCATTCATTCACATGATACAGGCCCTGTCCCTAGGCGCCTTAAGGCTGGGGGGACAGACATGCCAGTACAGTTCAGAGTGTTAAGTAACTTCACTAGAAGTATCTGCAAGGCCCAGTGGAAATGCTGAGGAAGGAAGAACCTAGAGCAGTTGGTAACTTAATGTTTCAGATGAAACTTGAGAGTAGGAGTTTGCCAGGTGGACAAGTTGGAAATGTGAGGGCATTCTGGAAGAGGGGCAATAGGAAATAAAAGAACATGACTTTTGGATTAAAACAATTCTGGGTTCAGGTCTTGTATTCACATCACATCTTTAGAGGGTATCTTGTGTTAAACTTCCAGTACTGTGTTTTTACATAAATCCCTGTGTAGACATCGCATTTATTCTATATTGAGCAAGTTTTTAACAGATTGTTCATCTGAATCTTAATTTTAGGAATGATAGCCAAAAAACAAGTAAGCAAATAAAGGTCACACCTTGATAACATCATTAGAAAATACAGAGAATATGTATTGTTTATAATGAGATGAAATGTAAAGTTGTTTTCATTTTGGGAAAAAAAGGACAGATAAGTTGATTCCTCTTTAAAAATTGTAGAAAATAGGTTAGCTCATTTTCCATAGGCAATGTAGTTGTAATAACTGTCCAAAATGTTATTTGCTAACTGTAGCAGCTTTTACTAGGGAATGTGTGTTGGTTTGTTGATCATGTTAGTTTTCATTAGATACAGGATTTCTTAATATTGTTATGGGATGAAAGAAAAATCTGTGAGTCACAGCGAGACAGAAAAGTATCATTTCCAGTAATGTAACAAGATTTTAAAAAATGTTTTATGGTTTCTTCCAGTGCTTAGCATTACATTTTTTTCTTCTTTACTCTATATTCTAACGTATTTTCTGAAATTGTTTAAAAAGACACATTCTCAATAGAGGTAGTATGTAGAAAATACTCCATTTTTGGTGTTGTATGTTTAGTCTGTGAGATTATACTTGTATTACTGTAGATTAAAAATCAATGCACTCTTGTAGAAGAAAGGACTATATATAGCTTAAAAGCAGTTGAAGAAACAGCAAAGGAAAACACTAGCTGAATTTGTCAAAATTAAAAGTTTTTAAATAATCAGGTCGTACTGGAATACTATTTGTATCTACATGATAGAAATAAAATTTACATGAAGAAATAGGGTAATGAAAACACTAAGATCTGGTAGATGGATAGACAAATAGTATCAGCTCATACAACTAATGGAGAATTAAAACAGTGAACCATTTTTCATCTATCATGTTAGTAATAACTTAAAAAAATTTCCATTGCTGTCTCATGTTTCTCATTGGCCTATACATTTTTCAAAAAACCTTAATCATACTCCTTGATCAAGTAATTCTCCTTTGTGGAATATATCCTATGGAAATTTGATTCAATCACAGTATTGTGTAGTTTTTTTTGTAAGGTACGTACATTCAGTAGATGAAATATGTAGCTTTTAAGTAAGTTTCTATTTAAAACCTAGAAAATATTAATGATAAAACAAGATAAAAACCGGAGTGATACAAAATTGTACATATAGTATGTTTATAATTTTTTGGAAGTGGAAAGAAGACAAAAGAAATTAGACAACATTGTTCTTAAGATTTTGTCATCCTTTTATCTTTCTATTGTGTACTTTGCTATATGTTAGAAAAAAAGCCTAATGACATATTCAAATGGAAAAAAATTCAAAACACTTTATATTTGAGGTGATGTTGCATACCTTCTCTTAATTACTAAAAACAGTAGCTTCAATCCAGATGTTAGAAGGAATTTCAGTTTGCTGATCTCAAAAAAAAAAAAGATAAAAGATGTAGGCTTAAGCTTCACAGTTATTGTCAGTGTTGCTAAAGGGCAAGTACCTAGTTGCCCTCTCTCTCCAAAAAAAATCTTTAATGGTAAAATACACATAACATAAAATGTATTATCATAATTATTTTCATACAGTTCAGTAGTGTTAAGTACATCACCTTGGTGCAAGCGATCTACAGAACTTTTTCATACCCTTTAAACAACTCTATTTCCTCTTTTTCCAGTCCCTGGCAACCACCACTCTACTTTCTGTTTCTATGGTTCTGATTGCTCTCTGTAACTTATGTAAGTGAAATCATACAGTATTTGTTTTTCGTGACTGGCTGATTTCACTTAGCATAATGCCTAAAGGTGTTTTGGTAGGTGTCACAATTTGCTTCCTTTTTAACACTGAACAGTATTCCATTGTGTGTATATACCACATTTTGTATATGCATCTGTTGATGGACACTTGGGTTGATTCCACCTTTTGGCTATTTTGAATACTGCTGTACACCTGGGTTTAAAATATCTCTTTAAGACCCTGCTTTCAATTCTTTTGTATATAAACCCAGAAGTGGTATTGTTGAATCATATGTAGAATTCTACCTTCTATTGAGTAACCACCATACTGCTTTTCATAGTGACTGCACCTTTTTATGTTCCCAACCATAGTTCACAAGTGTTCTGATTTATCCACATCCTTACCAACACTTATTTTTTTATATTAGCCTTCCTAATGGGTGTGAAGTGATATCCTATTGTAACTTTGATTTGCATTTTACCCTAATGATTAGTGATATTGAGCATCTTTTCATGTTTGCTGCCCAGCCCTTTCTTTTTTTGTGTCTTTATACATAACCATAAAACCTTCAATTCTAACCAAATCTTCTACTAATCTCTTTCTACATGGTTCTCCCATTTGACATATTCCATCTCATAATCCATTTATTCTCATTCTTACTTAGCCTGCATATCCTACAGTTGATATTCTAGATCATCTAGACATTCAGAACTTCCTTAGGTATAGTTTTATTTACTTAGTTCAACTCTTAACCAATAAATTCTTCATATAAATCTATATGTGCAATTAGAAACTGTTCCCTACACTGAAGAAAGGAATGTTTGTTTCCATGTTCAGGAAGAGTATCAGACTTCTTAGGTGGGAAGATATTTGAGAACTTAGAATAATTTATGTACTTACATGCCATTTATTAAATTTAAACAAGTTCAGGTGGATCAAAATTCAAAAAAAAAACAATATACACGGTAAAGTCTCTTTTCTGGCTCTGTCCCATAGCTGCCAGTTGTCTTCCAGGGAGGCAACCAAATTATCAGTTTTTACACTACTAAGCAGTATATACTATACATATTCTGCAGCACTTTTATTTGCCATTTTTTAAGGTCTTATAATTAGACTGCTACACATCTGGAGCAGAGTATTGAGAACGTACTGAGGCTGAATAAACTGAGCTCAGCCCATAGTATATAAAAGCTTTTTCTTTCTCTTAAAAAGCTTGCATGCCAAGAAGTATCTTAAGAGTTCTTGAAAATGAAGTTAGAAAGCATCTTTTAATGGACTTTTTTCCCCTTATAGCTGATTATGGAAGATTCCCACAAGCGTAACACTCCAGAGACAGCACCTCAACCTGGTTCAGCAGTTCAGGGAACTCATATTTCACATATTGCTCAACAGGTAAGGTAGAACCAAACAAAATATCAAGCTGGTTAGGAATATTTTGTATGCAGAGTAATCTGTTGTTTCAGATCTCGTTACTAATGTTCAAAAAAAGAACTAAGCCAAAAAAGACCCCAAAAACCTGTAAAGTGTTGAAATGTATGGCAGGAAGGTAGGACTGATTTAAATATCTTGTCAAGATCATTCCGTTTTATTTTCTTTCATACAAAATATATTTAGTGTTTTGTTATGTATGTACTTCTCAAACTTGGAAAAATGTGGTACATGATTATTTAGATTTTTGTCAGACTCATTTTGTTGCTACATAAGAAAAATGAAAAACTACTTGGCTTTTAGAGCTAACTGGAAACAGAGATGAATAGCTTTTAGAGGTTAACTATCTTCAATTCAGTAGATTTATTGTGGATGTATAGGAAATATATATTTTTTGCTAAATTGGAAAAAGACCAGAGAATGTAAATAGACAGATATTCATATTGCAAAACTGATGATACTTTTTTTATTTCAAATTGATCCATGCACCTGGTGCATTTCAAGGAAAACAACTGACAGTATCTATTGCCAGAGAAGATAATGAACTTTGAAGCAAAAATTAGAATTTTGGAAAATTTGTGTTTACCATAGTGAATTTGACTGCTTTCCAGTAGTTACAGACTTTACAGTTTAAAAATTGTGTTACAAAATCATGCATGCATGGGTATAATATCCATTCAGAGTACAAATGGATTTTAATGTTAACACACAAAGTTCAGATTGTACATTGCCAACAATCTTGAAGAAGCTACAACCCGTTGAGTTTTGGTGGGGTATGAAAGAATACCCACAACTATCTGAAAAGACCATTAAAACAGTCCTCCCTTTTCTAACTCCATATCTATGTGGGGCCAGACTTTTCTTCATGTACCTCAACCAAAACAATAGGGCAAGATGATGTAGAAGCATGTAAGAGAATTCATATAAGAAAGCATATAAGAGAATTATTTGCTGTTAACTCAAATATTAAAATTTGTAGAAAAGGAAAACAATGAGTACTGAGGCTGAATAAACTGAGCTCAGCCCATAGTATATAAAAGCTTTTTCTTTCTCTTAAAAAGCTTGCATGCCAAGAAGTATCTTAAGAGTTCTTGAAAATGAAGTTAGAAAGCATCTTTTAATGGACTTTTTTCCCCTTATAGCTGATTATGGAAGATTCCCACAAGCGTAACACTCCAGAGACAGCACCTCAACCTGGTTCAGCAGTTCAGGGAACTCATATTTCACATATTGCTCAACAGGTAAGGTAGAACCAAACAAAATATCAAGCTGGTTAGGAATATTTTGTATGCAGAGTAATCTGTTGTTTCAGATCTCGTTACTAATGTTCAAAAAAAGAACTAAGCCAAAAAAGACCCCAAAAACCTGTAAAGTGTTGAAATGTATGGCAGGAAGGTAGGACTGATTTAAATATCTTGTCAAGATCATTCCGTTTTATTTTCTTTCATACAAAATATATTTAGTGTTTTGTTATGTATGTACTTCTCAAACTTGGAAAAATGTGGTACATGATTATTTAGATTTTTGTCAGACTCATTTTGTTGCTACATAAGAAAAATGAAAAACTACTTGGCTTTTAGAGCTAACTGGAAACAGAGATGAATAGCTTTTAGAGGTTAACTATCTTCAATTCAGTAGATTTATTGTGGATGTATAGGAAATATATATTTTTTGCTAAATTGGAAAAAGACCAGAGAATGTAAATAGACAGATATTCATATTGCAAAACTGATGATACTTTTTTTATTTCAAATTGATCCATGCACCTGGTGCATTTCAAGGAAAACAACTGACAGTATCTATTGCCAGAGAAGATAATGAACTTTGAAGCAAAAATTAGAATTTTGGAAAATTTGTGTTTACCATAGTGAATTTGACTGCTTTCCAGTAGTTACAGACTTTACAGTTTAAAAATTGTGTTACAAAATCATGCATGCATGGGTATAATATCCATTCAGAGTACAAATGGATTTTAATGTTAACACACAAAGTTCAGATTGTACATTGCCAACAATCTTGAAGAAGCTACAACCCGTTGAGTTTTGGTGGGGTATGAAAGAATACCCACAACTATCTGAAAAGACCATTAAAACAGTCCTCCCTTTTCTAACTCCATATCTATGTGGGGCCAGACTTTTCTTCATGTACCTCAACCAAAACAATAGGGCAAGATGATGTAGAAGCATGTAAGAGAATTCATATAAGAAAGCATATAAGAGAATTATTTGCTGTTAACTCAAATATTAAAATTTGTAGAAAAGGAAAACAATGCCATATCTCTCACTAGTTTTTTGGGGGGGAAATTTAGTTATGTCAATGAAAATATTTATGTTAACATGTAATGGATTTATGGTTATTTTTAAATGAACTGTTAAGTATTTTAAAAATTTCTATTTTAATTTGAAATGTATTAGTAGATAAAAACCCACATAAGTAAAAGTTCTGTACGGTCCTTAATAAATTTAAGAGTATAAAAGGGCCTTGAGATCACAAAAATCTGAGAGCTAAGAACTTAAAGGGTTAATCCTTCCAGCTTGATGCATCCTTCTGTATTATTTGACTGTCTGTGAAGAATAATGGTATCTTCTGATGGTGCTGGAAAACATGATGGAGTCTTTCTTTCAGTTACCTTTCTGTTAATAAAATCCTTTATAGAAATGTTTTAATTTAGTTTGATTTCTTGTGTATTTCAGTTATTTTGGTTAGATGTGAATATTTCCAGGTTTGCTCAGAAGCATACTTACTATGAGGTAGAATAAGTGTATTTCTGGTGGTAAATAATTTTATAATGATTTAAAAAAATAACATCACTGAATTTGTATCTAATTTATTGTGGCTTGACTACTTTATTAGACTCTAAATTCTGTAAAGAAACAGTATCTAATGTAGGGATATTTATTCAGTCTTCAGTGTAAGTTGGGGATAAAGTAATGAACAAAATCCTCAGCTCTCATGGAACTTACATTCCTTTTGGATAAGGACATGTATCAGATAATAAATAGGCAATAAATATGTATCAGATATAAAATATTTCAGTAGTTATGTAGTTGTCGAATCATTAAGTTGTATACTTGAAACCAGTATAATGCTATCAATTGTACTTCAATTAAAAAATAAGATATTGTTGGTAGTATGTACTATGGAGACTAATAAAGCCATGCTAGGAGGGTAGGTGGTTTTTGGTGGAGATAGGGGACATGCCTTTGTGTGTAAAGTGGTCAGAGAACTCCTGTCTGTGAAAATACCTCACAATTTTATGGCCCAACAAGGGTAAAAACTCTGAGACAAATACATGTGTGGTGTGGTTAGGAACAGCAAGGGGGTAAGTGTGGTGAGGAAAGGGGTGACTGAGAGGGTAGAGGGATACAAGATGAAGCAGAGGGGCTTGGGTAGAAAGGAGAGTGCCAGGCAAGGTAGGCCTTCTCTGCCACTAGATTTTTGACTTTTACTCTTGGTGAGATGGGGAACCTTTCGAGTGTTTTGAGGAAAAACATCATCTGTCAGTAGGATCACTCTAGTTGCTTTGTGGAGTGGAAGCAGGAAAGCCAGCTGGCCTGTCAGTTACGTGCATAAGAGATGATACTGTCTTGGACCAAGGTTGTAGCAGTGGTGGTGGTCAGGTAAAGTTAGAGTCTGGATGTAATTTGGCTGTAAAGCCATCAGTGTTTGCTTTTAGATTTTGGGTGTGTAGGTATTAGAGAAGAAAAGGAGTCGAGGGAGGTTGGCTATACAGTTTGGGCTTCAGCTGTTAAGAGTAGAGCTGGCATTTATTAAGATGGACCACATTAGTATGTTTTTCTTTTTTGGAGGATGTTAGCAATCAGGAATTTGGCTTTTATACATATTAAGTTTGTAGTACTATCTGTATTAGTTTTCTATGCTGCAAAAACAAACTATCACAAATTTAGTGATTTAAAACAACACATTTATTATCTTGCAGTTTCTGTGGGGTCTGGTCACAAGGGCTCTCTGCTTCAGTTTCACCATGCTGCATTTGAGGTATTGGCTAGGACCGAGTTCTTATTTGTAGACTAGACTAGAGAAGAAACCTCTTCCAAGCTTTCTCAGGTTGTTGGCAGAATTCATTTTATTGCAAGTGTAGGGCTGAGAGCATCAGTTTTTTGTTGACTATTGCTCTTAGAGGTCACCTCCATTTTGCTGCCATGTGGCCCTCTCCATAAACAGTTCACATGGCAGTCTGTTTTTAAGTCCAGCAAGAGAATGAGAGTGAGTCTGCTAGCAGGACAGTTTTACATAACATAATCAAGGGAATTATATCCTATTCCTTTGCCATTAAACGTAACATGATCATGAGAATGACATCCTATCATTTTTGCCTTATTCTGTTAGGAGCAAGTCACAGGTCCCTCCCCCACTCAGAGGGAGAGGATTACTCAAAGATACGGATACCAAGAGGTGGGGAATTGTGGGGGCCACCTTAGAGTGTGCCTGCAAACCCATACAAGTAGATTTTAGATTTGCCCAAGAGGCAGTTGGGTTTATGTGGTCTGCTTTGAATAAAAACAGGTATTTGTATGAAGACCAAGGGAGAGATCCAGACTGGAAATGTAAATTTAAGAGTTGTGGACATGCAGGTGGTATTTAAACTTCATGGGGTGATTTCTGGCTTCCACTTAGGATATAGAGAGCTGGAAAGAATACTGTTCCCACCCTAAAACAATAAACTAAAATATACAAAATCATAACATCTCAACCCATCAGAGATGGGTGTGACTCACCAAAGGGAAGAGGGCAGTGTTGTTAAACAGAGGGAAAGAAAATTCAGCTAAATTTTTAATGAGTTGCTAAAGTCTAAGTGTAGGCTAGTATGAGACTATTGAAACCTTGTGAGCTGCAGACTCAAGGATAGGTAACACCCACTTGTAGGCTTTTCTCCAAGGACCTCAAGCAGTTGCACATGAGAAAGATTGGGGAAAGCAAGGGAGACTGAGAAAGCCTGACTTGGTAGAACAGGTCTGCCTGGACCCTTTTTTTCTGAGGAAAAGAGCTCTAAGCTGCTAGGGGAAGAGAGTAGACCCCATTTTCCCTTGTGGTTGGGAGAAGTAAAAAGAAAATGAAAATCCAAACAAAACCCTGAGAGAAAGGCAGGAAATCTCCTGGGTTCAGACCATTAGTTCTACTGCTGGGAGAAAACCTCACCCACTAAGGCCCAGGCATATATGGCTGGCCTGAGGCTGATACCAGGCCAGAACAACAAAGAATCTCTTTGTTCTCTGCTAGCAAGTAAAGAAACAACAGTTTACCTCTGGGGCAGGTGCTCAGAGAAAGCCTAAAGCTGAGGGTGGAGCAAGAACCTGGATTAAAAACCCTCTAGCACACCAGCCGCCTCACTAAGCAGAAGGTCACACGAGGAATTTGAAGCTGGTAGTGCATTTAAGTTAATATAATAAAACCCAAACCCAGTCAATTCCTGAATAGATTGGCTGAGCAATGGACAAAGACGTGTCCACTTTTAGGCATAAATACAATTCAGTCAATCGCTGTCTTATCCATGATGTCCACCATTCAGGCAAAAATTAGGAAACACATACAAAAAAGCAAGAAAAATATCATCCACTGTCAAAAATCCAACCACTGTCAAAAATCAAACTAATCAGTAGACTGAAGATCCAGTTAGAACTATCAGATATTGAATTGAATATAACAGTGAAAAATACAATAATGACTCTAGTGGAAAAGGTGAACATGTGTGAACAGATGGCAAATTTCAGCTTAGGAATGGAAGCTATATGAAAGAGTCAAATAGAAGTGCTAGAAATTAATATTGTGAAGTATATGAAGTATGTTTTGGGGCTTATTACTGGACTTGATAACAGCCAAGGAAAGAATCAGTAAACGTCAGGATAGGTCAGTGGAAATTATCCAGGCTAAAAACAAAGAGAAAAAAAGTGAGGGGAAAAATAGAACACAGCATCTAAGAGCTGTCCAAGAAAACATGGAAGAAGAGGGGTGAGAAAATAAGTAGACAAACTCATTGACAACAAAATGAATAGGTAACTCCTTCAAGGAGTTTTGCTGCAAAAGGGAGCTAAGAAATGAATATTCTAGAGGAGGTTGTAGGTCATGGAAGTATTATTACTTTTTAAGATGGGAGGAATAAACCACATGTTTGTATACCAATGGAAATGATGCAATGAAAGGGAAAAATTTGATGATTCGGGAGAGAGAGGTCTATCTTGGGATGATGTCCTTGAGGAGGGGAGGGGGTGAAAATTACAAT